CGCATGTATAACACAATGAATCAGTGTCACACACGATGTACACCACATGACAGTGTGTCACAGCACGATTACCTATCACACATGACATAGTGTCAACAGCCCTCCCCCCACACGATGTATAACACTGACATACGTGTCACTTTTAACCACCACGATGTTAACACACAATGACAGTGTGTCACACACGATGTATAACACTGACAGTGTGTCATCACACGTGTATAATACATACCTAGTGTCACACCACACGATGTATAACACATGACATAGTGTCACACACGATGTATAACACATGACATGTCCACACACGATGTATATCACAGGACATGATGTCACACAATGTGTCACTCTTCCCCTCCCTCTCCTCTTCCATGCTTTTCCCCTACCATTTCATACCTCACCTCACTACCCTCGTACACTTCTCCATCCCTTATAACCTCGCATTCGCTCACCTTCCCTCTTCCCTGTTTGCGCCCATCATTCCTTCTCTCCCTAACCTCCCTCAACCTCTACCCTACCACTCCTCCTCCCCCCTGCCTTCTTCCCCTTGCCTTCCACTCTTTGCTTGCCCCTCCCTCCTCCCTCACCCATCACTTTCCCCACTGTCCCCCCCTCCCCCTCACGCTCCCCTTCCCCCTCCCTCCCTCACCTCCCCCGACGATGGCCGGCCGTACCTTCTATGCTTGTGAACGTGTCCTGTGGCTTGCCCAGCGGCGTACGAAGCTTCGCCATCACGCAGTACTGCGCCGACTCGTACGTCGCGAAAAACATCAGCAGCGACAGGTTGTTCTGCACCGGCTGCGCCAAAAAAAAACAAGAGAACATTCTTAGTCACTTCCGACCTTAGTGATCAATCGCTAATGACTAAGCAAAAGTTAAAAAATAGAAATTTAAAACATTCGCATTAAAAAACGATAAAGTTTTTAATGAGAAACGTCAGCAGCGATGGGGACTCAGCACCGGCTGAGACAAAAACAATAGAACATTCCTAGTCACCGTCGAGAAACATCGCTAGCAATGGATCGTCTTGCACAAACCACAAGGAAAACAAGAGAGCCTGCTTAGTTACTCACGACCTTCGTAACTAGTCACTAATGACCAGTTACTAACGAGAATATCTAAAAGCATCTAACGAGTCGGGGAGAGTGCGGCTAGACGGAACAGTACTGATACGTGCATATAATGCACTAGGATACAACAGCGTGTAGTCTAGAGGTTAGGCAACAGGCTTGCTCACCAGAATGAGGCTGCTTTCGCTGGCCTGACCGCTGTCCACGCGCGGGGCTAGCTTGTCTGACCGCTGGCAGCTGTAGTGAAGTCTCTCCAACCACTCAAATCCCTTGCTGCAAGCACAAAATGAAAGCATGGAAGTATTTGAGTTGTAGCACCCTAAACGTCTAAACCTGACATTAAAACTGTGGGACTACTTCACCGTGAAAAATATATGAAAAATATGACAAGCGATTACTACACAATACCATGTGAAAGATGATGATAAATCATAATATTAGCAACACACACACAGTCTCGCTTGCATGCACTCACATACACACACATATGCACTCTTGGACACATGCACGCACACAAGCATGCACCCACGCACTCATGCACACATGTACACACACACACACACACACACACACACATACACAACCACGCACCCAAGCACACGAACACGCCCACGCACGCACCCACACACACATCTAATTACGCACACACAGCACCCAAGCAAACACACACACGCACGCACGCGAGTACTCACCTTGGCTGCGCATCGATCAAAATAAATGCCATGATGCTGCGGAAGTTGTTGGTGTGGAATGTTCCCATGGGAACGCGTCCGACATGCTGGCGCCGTGCCAGCCCCACGTCGTGCAGGCTCGTCGCCTCGCCCTGCCTGCTGCCCGTCTGCTGCTGGTCGTCATGGTGATGCAATGTCGTCTGCTCCGTACTGACTGCCATGATCTCAGACGCGCTGCCACGGACAAGAGTTGTGCATTTAGAACCAGATTTTTTTTCGTTTCCACCTCCAACGCATTCACAAAACGCCGAGTGTAGCAATGGTGAAAATTTAGTTAAGAGGTAATCGTGGTAATTTAGTTTAAATTCTAGTATCTTTTAAATAGTAGTACACTTGTTTATACAATAACCAGGTATTATAATTTTAAACACTTTAAACATGCTAGCCAAAAAATACGACTACCAGCCAACATCACGACAAATTGGGCATCGGTACTGCTATCTATATCTAGAGTAAAGGTCATCAACTCGTTTCTTGACGACCGATGTAGATGGCGACACCTCCACGGTCCCGGCAGACAGAGCACACATTTCGATGACATCATACCTCGTAAGCACGTCGTTCTGCACGAGACGGAGCGCGGAGGCAAACTCGTCGCGTATCATCTCGTCCGGGTGGTTCAGCCGCTGTAGTATCACCTCGATGCACCTGCAATCACACGCAGTCTCCCGCATCACGCCACCGCCTCTCACTCGCGTAAGTGCCACGACGCCAGGGCTAGAAACTTACTTGCATAATATAGTTATATTAATTTAATAAACTATTAATTATTGTGTATTGTGTATGTCGATATTACATTGTAATAAAGCAATAGTACGTCATGCAATGAATAAAATAAACTTAATCGAATGGCTTGTCGCTTGACCCGCGACGACAAAGCAGCAAACATGACCGGCCGCGCAATGATAAGATGGCCTCACGCTCCAGAAAGAACAGCACTTTCGCGAATCAGTTCATTTCATTAACCCCAACCCTAAAAACTATTGAAATATTTTCGGAGGGAGAAATATAGACGGCGTACTGTTTGAGCAGGGCGTGGGACAGCGGATGTACGTTCTTCAGCACGAGCTGCAGACAGCGAACAGACGTCAGTGTTACGTCGTCTTCGCCGCTCAGTGCTGAAAGGCAAGCATGGACAACACCGTCAGACACCGGGACATGTACGCAATGTATAAGAGTGAATGGTTAAACAAAGAGTGAGCCAAATATGATATAAATATATATTTAATTGATCTTTCTAATATTAATATATATAAATAATAATCTGTGAGTTATATATATATATAATAACAATTAATGTGTTTTAAATTCACTAATTCAAACTAATAATTCGTGTATAAAAAAAAGTTCCAATGACACTGTAGCTCACCTTGGGTGTGATAGAAGAGGGAGGGGGGATATATAAAGCAAGAGTATATATGGGAGAACTCCCATTATAATACGTAATAGGACGAAATAAATGTAATAGGACGTTTTAATCTCTCCCATAGGAGTAACAACTGTTTTGGGGCTAGCCTTACACATTCACATACTAAAATTTAACAAAATAAAATGAATTTAGATGGCCATTTTAATTTTTGCCAAAAGTGGGCGTGGCTCGAAAGTAGGTCGACTGGCGTGCTCCAAACTAAGAAGTTCAAATCTCTCCCATAGGAGTAACAACTGTATTCAATTTGAACATGTGGGTCAAACGCGGAGTGGTTCTTGAGTTATGTTGACCGTAGCAGACACTGAAATGCATAGTGATATTGCCAAAATCTACCTAATTTGCATAATTTAAAAAAAAATAAAATAACAAACGGCTGTGTGATATGTTTTGGGGCCAGTCTTATTCATTCACATACTAGAATGAGCAAAATCCGTTGAACCTGAACTGGCTTATGGCCATTTCCATTTTTGCCAAAAAGTGACATGGCTCGGAAAGATGGCGCGTGCGACTGCGTGGCTCCAAATAGGACACGTTCAAACCTTCTTACCTATAGGACGTAAACAACGATATGCAATTTAAAACATGTGGGCAAATGGTTCTTGAGTTACGTGACGCGTAGCGCAAATGTGGACGGAGAGACGGACGGAGAGACGGACAACACCCCGCTTGGCAATAGCCTCAATCTGTGACGATTGTCTAAGGCGATGCTTAAAAATAAATATCAATTACGTTTTAATGATAGAGATGGCAAGCACGTGACAGCAGACAACCTACCGGACGTGATACACCTTGGAAACAAGATCACAGAATTCTGGCTTTGGGAACCAGGGCGGCGTGCTGCACCTGCAGGTGACTGTAGGGATGTCCTCACACACTTGCACTCGCCAGTTTCCTGCAAGATCGACAGACCATGCCACAATGTAGGCGATGGTGCGGCCCTATCACTCGCAATTCGGCCGCTCTAAACCTTCACCCTCCCTTACGCGAACACAGACATACACACGAGAGCGGAGGCTGTGAGGTGCGTTTTGCCTGGCAGCGCATTTACTTAGTCGCATTAGTCGTTGATTGCATCCAAGTATATATTTTGGAGAAGTTACTATTTCCGGTCTAACAAATACCAATTGAATAATCGTAAATATAACGTTCGCAGCGTTTCACATTCGCAGGCGATGAAAAAAACCCGTCACGAATCAAACACTAAGTTAATTTCACACACGAGTTCTTAGTTTTCTTATCGACAATGCGTGGCAACAAGGCAAAGGGACGCCATGGCCTTGAGTGCCTGTGAAATGTGACCTGAGGCAGTCTGTGAGCCTTGAGGTAGACCCATGCGCTGATGTTGAGCCGGTGATTGACATCAGCTACAGTGTGATGACCAGTGGACGGCTTATAGGACGCCTTACCTGCGCGTGCCAGCTGTTGGTGGTCTCCTGCCCGCAGCAGCCTGCGTCAGCAGGTGGTGAGGATCTTGAGAGACTGGCGCGCTGTCTGTGCAACCGGCGTGGCTGGACAGCTAGGCAGCTGGTCGATGATGAAGTTGCTCATTGCCTGCGCCGCGCACAGAGAGAGATCTTGCCCAACTGCAAGCATATCGTCGCATCAAAATTTGTCTGCCAAAGCTGACAATTAGCACTACTATGTTCGCGTGTATGATGTTTATATGTATATATATATATGTATATATATATATATACATATATATAAATAAATAATTTAATAAATAATTAAAATAATTAATTTAAAAAAAAAGTTGGCATGTGCCGCCACCTGGTGGAGAGCGAGTTGAGCAGACGTAGGACGCAGTACTGTACGACGGGGTGGCTTGCCGCTAGATCCTCCATGCCGGGGTCGAGATGGTGACACAGCAGCTCAAACAGACTAGGAGTGAGCGCCCACATCTACGTGAGAGAGACGGCGAGAGAATGAGAGAGAGAGAGAGAGAGAGAAAGAGAGAGAGAAAGAGAATGAACGTCAGTGGCTGCAGACACACGCTCCGCTACTTGAGTATGCGTTTACTACTACTCTCGACTCCGATTTAACGTGACCGAGACGCGTTCCTAATGCACGTCAGCCGAGTGAAACATCCGTGAAACAAGGCTGACTGCAACGTGACATCGACGCGTTGTACGATTAATCACACCTATAACAACAAGTCAGTAATGACTAACGAAGAGTTACTATTAACCGCCGGTCACTAACGACGACCACTAGCGCCCTCTCACCCCGATGATGGAATTACTGGTCGTCGCAATCTCTGTGAGCGCTCCCAGCAGGAACATGACGACGTGGCGAGCCTGCGGAGGCGTGTAGGTGGCGCCGGGTGTCGACGTCGTCGTCTCTTCGACGATGACCGGCTTGCGCTGGCTGCCACCACTGGTCAGCAGGGCATTGACCGCTCGCTGCATGTCTATAAGCAGATGTCTGCAAGTGAAGAGAGGAGAGTGGGTCAATGCAAAATATTACCTAAACATCCCTAATAATATTTTTCATTATTACACATTTTATGAATATTAATATTAATAATTGTATCATCGAATAGCACTCCAGCATGTTTACACAGCTCGTGACTATAATAACAATATAATAATGTAATGTATTAAATAAAAAGTAAAAATAAATAATTTTATTTATTAATTAATTAATTAATTAGACGGCGTGCGTAGTGCTCTCACCTATATGCAACGTCGAGCAGCAGCACGTTCTTGAGTCCCAGCAGAGCCTGGTAGATCTGCATCGCCGCCTGCTGCAGCGCTGGCTCGCCCGAGAACCGAGCCACGGCCACCGCCCGCTCAGTCCGCAGCGCGCCACTGACAAACGCCACGGGCATCTCGCCGCCGACCTCCTGAATGACCTGCGGTCAAGCAATTACATATTTAATTACTCAAATGTAAAGATTGGAGTACCACTCTGGTAAAATCTCAAAGCATTGTTAGTGTAAGGTCTTATGCATTAAAGACTTGATTGGCGTATTTTTAATTTGAGTATTTCTACAGTTTGATAAATGGAAATTTATTGGATTTTTTTATATATTATTTATATAATGGATAATTGTTATTAAAACAGGTTTAATAGGTTCATTATTGAGTAATAACAAAGATGCGCTGCGCGTTCACCTTGAGAATCAGTGCCAATGTCGTGAGCAGGTACTTGGACGGCACGCTGGGCGGACCAGCCAGCTGCATCTCCACAAAGTCGGCGAGCAACGTCACGCAGCTGGTGGCGCCGCCGTGCAGATGCGCGAGCAGCTCTATGACGCAGTGGTTTGCTGGAGGAATGATGACAAACGTTAACACGCTTCGACAGAAAACAATGCACATAGCAAAAATGGTATTCAACATGCATCATGTTGAGTGGAGTCAAATCATCATCAACAGCCATTGCGATCAAGGAATTATAAATTAACGATAAGGACTAATAAATTACCCAGAGTACACTGATAAGCACGACAGCGACCATCTATATGGGGTACAAACTCCGTAAACACTCCGATTGGCTGGTGTTTGTTCTTTAATCTGGTGCCACACTAACATACCCACAGCAGCAACCACCTACACACGGTACACGGCCACTAAATCCTCTCTATTAGCAGCAGTTGGTTCTGTAGTCAGGGCACAGCACTAGCATATCCGCAGCGGCAACCATCTATAACCGGCACATAACAACTGAACACTGTCTACTGGCAGCAGTTGGTTTTGTAGTCGGGCGCCACGTCTGCGCAACAACGAGCAGCAGACCTACCGTGAAGGATGAGGTTTTCCGAGTGATGCTTCTCCATCGACATCAGCACACACTGCATGATCCTGTTCAAACTCTGCAGCAAAACAACACAGGTGACAAGCACTCATCATACATTATCACATTAATGCTCATCAGACCTCACAGCACGAACACAGGAACACTTATTGAACACCACAGAAGGACCACAAATGCTCATCAGACATCACAGATGTCCAGCCCACCACAGCTTCACTAAATCCCGAGCATTACCACAAAGGCAACTGATACATGTACACGTACGTTATATATATATATATATATATATGCATGCATGTGTAACTATATTATGAATAAAACCTCACCTCTACAATATACTCGGTAGTGATTGGCGGCCCCTTAGTCGGCTGAAAATACTTGCCGATGCTTCGAATGACGGTCGTGAAAACTCTGTCAAAAAAACGCGCAACACGACAACTATTAAAGGAATACTTTACTCTAGAATTTGAGAGTATATTATGATAGTAGATTTATAAATAATAGCACATACCTATAAATATCTATAATTACGCATTCACGTTTGTCATAAAACAACATTGAATTACGAAATCTCCATTTTTGGGCGCTGACATGACACCCGCGATCGTGCAGCCACCATGAAAATGTTTGCGCATTAGCCAATTTATTTTGCATGTTACAGACCGAGGGCTAATCACAAAAGTGCAATTATATTTATACCTAAATGCTATTTAACCAACGATATTCATTTTAGGACAAATTTATCCATATTATAACTGAAACTATATGTCGTTTATAAGATATTACAATCCTTCTGCTTTTAAATTAATAAATAAGAAACACCCTTGGTCTGTAGCCCTTGGCTAAAAAATCCGTTTGCGCAATTTATCAGATCGTGCGCTTTGAGTGGTGCCACCGTCGTTGTAATCAAACTGTAGTCGTAAGTTTTAAAACATTTTTTTTAAATATTTCTAATGGTGATTGAACCATGAAATTTTTAATTTAGCGCAATTTTAACCTAAATCAACTGAAAATAACCCTTGCACCTAGAGTCAAGTATTCCTTTAAACACTCGACCGTATTGTGCTTCAGAAAGTGAACAGCATACAATATCATTGTCTAGACAGGCTGCATTGATGATGATTCATCAACCCAGTCACCAGTGCGAACTACTAAATTCCATGTATGTGTGCCTGCATGCGTGCCTGCTGGGTGCTTGCACGCCCGCATGTCTGCAGACTGTCACAATATTGACTTAGAGTTACAATATGTTCGGTTAGACTGCCGCTACGCTCACCTGATTAATGACGTTATCTTACTGATGCATTCAGATGACGACGGTAGGTCTGGATCAGCGGGTGGACAGCTCCTGTCTACACACAAGTCCTGCGAAACAACATGCCACCGCAACGATGAGCTCCATTATTCACTCAGTCTCACACAGCAACGGTTACATTAGGTAGGTACACCTACCGATCTAATGGCTACTCAGTCACACACACACACAGCACTGGTTACATTGGTTCCTACGATCACAGCCTTGATAGTTGAACACTCACAAGCCACCGCAACGATGAGCTCCGATATTCACTCAGTCTCACACAGCAACGGTTACATTAGGTAGGTACACCTACCGATCTAATGGCTACTCAGCACACACACAGCACTGGTTACATTAGTCGTTACAGTCACAGCTCTGGTAACCGCCCACTCTCACACAGCAGTTGTTACATTAGTCGTTACAGTCACAGCTCTGGTAACCGCCCACTCGTACACAGCAGTTGTTACATTAGTCGTTACAGTCACAGCTCTGGTAACCGCCCACTCGTACACAGCAGTTGTTACATTAGTCGTTACAGTTACA